TATCCTCTTTTTGAAGCATGTTAAAAATGGATTGCAGCCCATTTTGTAGTTCTTATTTTGACTCCATGCATTATTCATCTTCTTAAACCTTCTTTTCATACTAGGTAATGGAAAATGCCTTTTTCTGAAAGGCATGATCATTGTCATGAAAACTGTAGACTTCATTAGCCTCATGACCACTCTAGGAAGTCAATAATTCATAACCCACACCTGCTAGATGACACCAGGAAGTGAACTGGTGGCTGCGAGAGGACACTTGAAATAAACTGGTGTTCTTGACTTTCACTCATGACTGTTTTACGGGTCTTGGTAGAGAAGAAGATTTTCCAAGAAAAATTTCTTCTTCAAAAAATGCTAAACATTAAGGCACATTAGTAGCTGGACTTGCATAAGATTTTGATTTGAGGGTTGGTTACCTGGTTTCTCTCAGAAATTGTGTGACTCTCTCCAGGAGCTGATAATCCTTTACAAATCCCAGAGGCATACAGGCTTTCACTTGAACTTTAACCAAGATAACATGGTTTTTAAGGCACAGCCCCTAGAAGCTGGCATTTCTTCTTAGGCCATAGCTCTCTACCGCCCTTCAAGCATCTGTCCTCAGAGAGAAAATGGGGGCAGGAAGATCCAACTAAGTAGCCTTTGAGGACCTTGAGCATTGTTATTGTGGGTATGGAACACTTCTGTTTATACTTTACACTTGGTGAGGATGATCAAAATATGTGATAAAGCATATGGCTCAGGAATTTGATAGCCTTTCCCTTACAGAAACACAGCTCTTTACTGTTTATTGTTTAGTTGTTTTCTGTGTTTAAAATAACCTTTATTAAATTAAATACTTTTAGAACTAAATAATTCTAATTAAAGCAGAATATAAAGAAATGCAGCCCCTAGGAATACATCAGTTGTTTTATCCCTGTTTTTTATTAGTTGTCACTAAATTTTTATTAGTTTATTTAGTATTTGGAGAGCTTGTAGACCTTCCTTGGGTATGTTTGTAGTAGGAACTTGTTATCTTAAACATATAGACATAAACATACACATGTTGTTTTTTGTTGTTTTGTTTTAGCTTCTCATAGTAATGAAGTATCATGAATTATTTTATTCAAATAATGAGCTTTCTCAACTACCACAGGCATTATATGTATTTTTCCTTTTAATCCAGGGACTCAGACTGTTTTTTTTCTTGTCTATTTTATTTTTCTTGTTTTTAAAAATTATTATTATAATACCAAGAAGCCATTTTGTCTTATCAACTGTAAGAAAACACCCAGAGAACCAGATTGCCAGGTATACATCTGGTATCACCCTTGGTGTGCCTCACAATCAAATTGAAATTTACTCAAGCAGCAAAGCTATCTCTATGGTTACTATGCCAGGGCATCAGGGCATAGCCCTTTTGGCTTTAGACTGCTTTAGCAAAACATGAAAGGTGTTGCTAATTAGATAGTTTTCCAGGTTCTAGTTGTAGATGTCCTTCCTTTCCCTCCTCCCCCCAGTATTTTGGGATATAACTGCTGAACACTGTTTTATATATAGACTGAGATTTGGCCTCTTTCCAGTCACTCTGAGATAATCTGACAGTGGTTATTGAGAAAAGTATAGACCCAATGCCTGAAAAGGCAATTTACTGAGGAATATACCCAGCATCAATATTATAGTGCTTTCTGGCCCACCCTGGTGAATTCTTGGGTTTCAAAGCAGAAATGAACTGTTTGATGTTATCTAGTAATTTAATTTCACTTTACAGATGAAGAAAAATGAAAGTATCAGGACTATGTAGCTTTAAACATTTTCATTAATAGCATTCATTCACTCACTCATTCATTCAGCAAATACCTATTGAGTTCCTACCCTGTGTTGGTTTTGAACTTACTAAGTATAAACATAGCCCCAGCATTTATGGTCTCATAGTTCATTGGAGTAAGAAGATTGACAAATAGTTACCACTTATGTCACAAAAGCACATTCAAAGCACTTGAAGCCACATCCTTGACTGTGGATGAAGAGTTGGCACCAGAATCTCAATGTATAGGAGTATTTATCAGGCTGTCTAGAGAGAGAAGGCATCAAGGCAGAGTAATCAGAAGTCAGGAAAGAGCAATAACCTTGGAAAATGCTGATTGTGTTAGTGTGGCTGTAGAACGATGAGTGGTGAGGAGTGCCTGAGTCTCCAGCATGGGGCAATATTATTGGGGACAGCTCATGCACATTCATTCAGGACAAAAGGGAGGGCTCTATGAGTTGTGAAAATGTAGAAACAGTTTCAACCTGGTTGATAAATAGCCACTCATCTAAGGTCCCTGTCTTGTTGCATCCCCGAGACTACTCACACCCAGTGATTCAGGAATTAAATTAAATTTTTATAGGAGGCCTCTAGATGAGTTACCTGATGCTGATCATTAACTTTTTTTTAGCATCTTTCTTCTTGTTTGTGCTGATTATTAACTTTTTGAGCATTTCTCCTCTCATCTACCTTATAAAGAATGTAAATTTTATCCTTTAGGTTAGGATTTGAAAATGCAAATGCCTCCATGGGTAAGGAAGCTACACAGAAAGGAGTGAAGCAACTGTGTACAAAGAACAGGGAAAGTTGAGGACTATAGTGAATTAGAGAAATTAAAATTAATTTTTAAAGACTCTGTGTCAACAAGCATAGATATGTACCAGCACTCAAATTTTGCAGTATAAGAAACAGGAAACCACAATTCATTAAACTAGAGAAGTGATATAAGAATAAAAAAAATTATCATGAGGATTTGACAGACAGAGATTACAGAGACATGGAGATATGAGACTGAGAGCATGGCTCTTCCTATTTTTTGAAGACTGGAGAAGAATATGATGGTTTAAATTCACAGATTTTTAAAAAGGAAGTATTTTTATTTCTGTATGATAACAAAATAAAAAAGGATTATTGGATTATTAAGGAAGATACATCATTTCCGTCTTTAAAAGTTTCAAGTACCTAAAGGATAGTGGTAGAAGCTAAACCCAATGATTTCAGAGAACATTCTGGATCTGTGATGCCCTGAGGCGTATTAACTTAAGCAAAATATTTGTGGAGAACAAACAAACTAAAAAACTGTGGGTAGTGAAATGGGCTGGAACAAATGCTGAAAGAACTCTTGAGTGTTACCAAGCAGGGGATTTGTGTGGGAACATGAAAGTGTTTTCAACAATTCTGTGTTGGTTTTATTCATCAGTTTCACAAAATTAAGTGTATACTATATGTTAAATACTGCTCTAGGCACAATTTTAAGTAGGATTTTTAAATTCATTTATTGAGAATTTACTATTCCTCCCTCCCATGAAACTTTCATTCTAGGAGAGGAGATGGTCAATAAATCTAGTACAGGTCAGGTTATGTTAAGCAAACCTAGGGGATGGATTGAGGCTGGGGAAGACTAAAGATGGAAACCAACCAGGCAACGGTGATCATTATACAAAACATAATGGAAAACTAGTAGAACTTGAAGTGGAATGGGGAAGTGTCCAAGAGAGAAATTCATAGTCACTAGAATGCCGTTGAACAGTTGTAGTTGCAAACGTATGATCTGCTAGGTTTTGATGAGCCGAATTTGAGAGTTTGCTAAGACACCTATGTGTAGATCTTTTCTGAAATTTTGGTGGTGTCGGAGGGACAAAAGAAATACAAAGGTCCAGGGCTTCTTCCTACAGACAGCCTGGGCCTCTGTGTGTATGTGTGTGCGTTTTTTTTGTTTTTGTTTTGTTAGTTTGTTTTTGTTTTGTTTTCTCACCTGTTGGTACTGACAGTGAAGTTTGAGAGCCACTGACTTAGGTAATTATAGATTCAAGCCTGGGAAAAGGGAGAAGCTAAGGGCTGAAGATGTGTATTTTGGGGTTTTAAAAAAAGTGTTCATTGAGACTTATGGATGGATCAACTTTCTCAGGGAAAGAGGAAAATGAGTGGTTACATAAATGCAGCTGGTTGGGAGATGAAGAAGAACCTGGAAGACAGACCCATGAATTATTCAGCATAAGGGGAAAGTGCAGAAAGCTCAGTTTCCCTTTAACTGGAATTCGGGTTCCATGGGGACAGAGACCTCAGAGTTACCTTATACCTGGCACTGTGCCCAGCACTTAATAGGCATTTAATCAATATTTGTTTATTGAACAAATCAAGGCATACATGCATGATTTTCACAAAAGCTAAAGAGAAATTTTTAGGAGAATATAGGCAGTCATATTAAATGCAGTAGCCTGAGGTCAAAAAAGCTGAAACTTATGTGATTTCTGGGTAGATTTGGTCAGAAGGAAGCTATTGCTATAAAAGAGATGGGGTAATTAAGTACAAGAGTGAATTTAGGCTCTGCTGTCATTTATCACACTCATCCTGAGCTGTTGATGAGCAGTTAAAGGCTATATATACATAGACATACACATACATACTTATGTATGTGTATTATGCATAGGTATGTGTAGCATGTATATGTTTGAGTACATGTATATATGTAAAATAGCCTGCTCTCTGGGATCTGTATGTTCATGGATGAAGCATCCTGCCTTTCTTGTATTTGAAAATGTTAAATCCAACTGCCTTTTAATGAAGATTCATTTATTTTTTTCACACCATTAGGTATAGTCTGTGGGGATAGACTTCTGTCAGTCCACATGAATAGAGCCCATTATTGGTAATGGAAGTCTTATACATACCCATGGAGGTGAAAAATAATTCACATTTAATCTTTCATAGTCATTTTTATTTAGCTGTCTTAAGATTTCAATGATGATCTCTTTTTGTCCCTAATTGCTGTTTGACATTGATTGTAGGCATTTGGTGATGAGTTCGAGCTTGTAACTTTAACGGGTGTAAGTGTTTCTTTCCTCTGTTTCAGCTGAGAAGTTTTGAGAGTGAAATATTCACAGCCATTAAGAGACCTCCAATTTAATTTCTCATCCTGCTTATTCTGTAGTTCATATTAACTCCACAGTGCTGAAGGAACTGAACAAGTGGACTTTTAGACATCAGATCACTGGCCATGGTGTTGGCCATGGCATCTCAGGATACTCAGAGCCTGTTCCAGCCTCTCTCTTCTTGGATATCTCGGGTGTATGAAGCTCTCCAGCAAGCAGGAGGTGTGTTATCTGCCTCATTGGTTAACTTAAGCAAACAAGACTCTAAATTGAATGACAAGGTAGACCAGGACTTAGATGATATTCAGATTCAGGAAACGTACTTTGAAGTTGAAGAACAAATCAATGATGGGAGTCAAGAGGACACAAATTCCTTGTTTCTTGAAGTGGATCATTTTTCTTGTTGCAATAGTGGTTTCCAGGGCTCTGCCCAAAACTCAAGTCCTAGACTTAGCCAACATGCAAAGGACTCATATTCCATAATATCCCAGTGGCCCAATCAGACTTGTGATGACCAAAAGCCACCACATGTGCTTTCTTCTATTGCTGAGGAAGAACATCACCTTGAACAGCAAAGGAGTGGCCTTCAACATGACTTTGAGAGCCAGCTCTCTGGTATTTTAGAAAATGTTTATGGAAAAAAGCAAGGTAAGCTAGCCAGTAGTCATTTTCTCTGGGTTCTTCCAAAGGACATTTCATTTCTGCTCATTTTATTTTGACATGTTTTAGTTGTCATATGACTTTTATTTTGCTCCCTCTTCTACCTTTTCACATGCTGGCTTTTTATTGAGAGATGTAATCCTTAGGAATATTTTCAGTGTATACAATTTTGGAATATCCATACTTATGGGACTCATATTCCAAAGCAAGAGTTCCAAGCAAGTGAAATGTTGAAAATGAGTCTGTGGGTTCTGTTTGAGAAGCCCCTTGTGCATATCATGCTTTTTAAAATATCTTTTAAATTGTTCTCTTTTTTTTTCACTATGTTAGGAATCTCTAGATGTTACTATATTATTCAGTGTGAAATCCTGTTCAGAAAGCCATACTTGTTGCAAAATTTTTTAGTTGAAAACACTTCAAGAACACTTCTCACAGTATTTCACTGAGACGTGATGTGAGATGACAGTAGATAGGAAATCTTTGAAATAAGAATAGCTTGATTTTCTTTTAGCCTTGAATGGAAAGGATATATTTAAAACAAACTGCCTATAAAGCTTTATCCTGTCAGAATGGAGCATATAATGGGCATTCAATAAATGTAAAATTCATATGGTGAGACTATGATTAACTCTATAAAGGCAGCTATAGTATGTGCTGGCATAGACTTTTCATACTTCTAATACTCTAAGCCTGAAGTTAGGACATTCCACCTGGTTAGGAACAGAGAAGTATATACTATGCGGAGAAAGGTGTTAAGTGTGTATGTATGATGTGTACATAGCTCACACAGATTATTGGATCTTTTATGTAATACTATAGGCCTGGTGCACAAAATTCATACATTGGGGTGGTGGTGGGGGGTGCGGGGCGGGGGGAGTCCCCCAGCCCAGCCTGGCCTCTCTCACAGACTGGGAGCCCTCAGGGTCCTAAGCTTCAGTCTGGCCTTCCTCTGTGGGAGGTGACCACATTGATCAGGGGAAGGTGCTAGCTCCCTCACCCCAGTGCTGCAGCCACTGCCAGTCACCTCAGCCACCGAGATGCTTTCATCAACACAGACTTCAGGTCCTTCACCAGGAAAAAATAACAACTTTCTTTAGGCATTTTCAAGATGTCTCTTTCATAGGATATGAAAGAGACATTTTTCTTTCTTCCCTCCCTCCCTCCCTCCCTCCCGCCCTCCCTCCCTCCCTCCCTCCCTCCCTCCCTTCCTTCCTTCCTTCTTTCCTTCCTTTCTTTTTTCCTTTCTTTCCTTCTCATCTGTGGATATGTTTCCATTGATTTTTAGAGAGTGTGCAAGAGAGAGAGACAGAGAGGAACATCAATATGAGAGAGACACTTTGATTGGTTGCCTCCTGCAAAGAAAAGGAAAGGTGTTTCCTTTGCAGCTCATGCACAGAGGACCCACTGGGTTGTGTTCACTGGTCTAGGGGGGTGTCCTTGTGGCTTGGGAGGCACGCCCCTGAGGCTGGCAGCCAGCCTTGCGTTGTTGGGGGTGTGGACTCAGGCTACTGTTTGGTGCAGGGTCAAGCACAAGCACAAGTGACTGCCCCCCTCCAGCTGCTTGGCGCCTGTGCTTGTAGGCCCAGAGTGGCCCGGGGCATTCTGAGACCTCGGTCGCTTAGGGCCTATGTATGGGCCTACAGGCTAGGATCAGCCTGGGTCTCGAGAATGTTCCCAGGACCCAGGCTGCTCAGCGACTGTGCATGCAAATTAACCTGCCATCTTTGTCCGGTTAATTTGCATACTCACTCTTGATTGGCTGGTGAGCATAGTGGAGGTATGGTCAATTTACATGTTTCTCTTTTATTATATAGGATAATGGTGTAGTAATTAATTCTCTTATTAGGAGGAGAAGACTTTTCTGGAATATTTAATAACCTCTTTATTTTCATGATTCTTCTTAGCTTTATCTTTTAAAAATATTTTTATTGATTTCAGAGAGGAAGGGAAAGGGATAAAGAGATAGAAACATCAATGATGAGAATCATTGATTGGCTGCATCCTACATGTCCTACAATGGGGACCCAGCCCACAACCCCAGTGAAGGCCCTGATTGAGAATCGAACTGTGACCTTCTGGTTCATAGGTTAATGCTAAACCTCTGGGCCATGCTGGCCAGGCTGGCCATTGCTATATTGCATCTCTTGAGCAGATAATATGGTTTTTATTGTTTAGTTTATTGAAATGATTTCCTAATATTGTGTTGAGGATTTTAAATATATATATTTTTTTCATTAGAAGTATTAGTCTTTAGTTTTGTTTTCTTTCAATCGCTCTCTCTCTCTCTAGTTTTCATGTATGGGTAATGCTGGCCTTATAAAATGAGTTAGGAAATGTTTTTCTTTTTTTATAGTTGAGACATATTTGTGTTAAATTAATATTGTTTATTTATTAAATGTTTGCTAGAAATTTTCCAGTGAAGCCAACTGACCTTGGAGTTTTATTTTGTGGGAAGATTTTGAAATACAAATTCAATTTAGTTTATTTTACTTTCAACTTGATAAACCTTTGTTTATTTTATTTTAGCCTTTACAACCCAGGCTGCTTGATACCTCTCCCCCTACCCAACTCTGAGGCAGCCTGAACCGGTCTTCTGCTTTTGAGGATAGGGAGTGGGAGTGAGGAACAATTCCCCAGGTGACCAGGGCACTGTACTTTTAAAACTTGTAAACCTGCACCAGGCTGGGACCACCACCTCATCCCACAAGCTGAGTCTGGCCAGGACATGGGCTCTGGGCAACTCTGAACACCCCTGGAGACCCAGAGTCTGTGGACAAGAGCCACCATCATCAGCCCCACTGCTCAGGACTTAGAAAAGAGGAGGTCAGGAAGGGTACCAAAGCCTCCGAGGCATCTGCCACAGATCAGGGCTCTCTGAAGAGGACAAAGAACTGGCTGAGATTCTTGAGGTATCTTTGTCTCCAGCAAGACTCCTGGCCCTCTCCCTGGGAGTATGCCAACTGTCCTCTCTAGAACTGTACACCTGAGTGCTATATAATTTCATTAACCAATGTCACCCCAACAAATTCAATAAAAACATTCAATTTCTTTAGTAAATATAGAACTGTTCATGCTATCTATCTTCTGGAGTCATTTTTGCCAACTTGTGCTTTTTAAGGATTTTTTTCTTTGCATCTATGTTGTTAAATATATAGACAGTATTTTCTGGTTATCTTTTTAATGCTTGTAGGGTTTATAGTAATATCCCTCTTTATTTTTTGGTATTGGTAATTTTTTTCTTTTTCTTTTTTCTGAGGGTGGGGGTCTGTCTGTCTAGATGATTTTCTTGGTTTCCCCTTAAGTAATTCTGAAATGACCAAGAAATAGGTGCCAAAAGTAGTATCAAAAAGTTTGTGTAGAGTTACAATAATTATGTACATGAGAGATTTGGGGTGATTTTGCCAGAGGTGATCAGAGAAAGTTCCACAGAGCAGATGATGTAGGACTGCAGACTCTGAGCAGTCAGAATTTAATAGGTGGACTGAAGGAGAAGGCATTCCAATGGAGAAAGGGCATGAGCACTCAGGCGGACAAGCCAGATGTTTTCAGGGGTGAATCATGAGGCTAGAGTTTAGGCTGCAGATGGGAAGGTCTTTGCTTTTCATAGTAAGGATTTAGTTTTACTCTAAGTTGCCAAACTCAAAAAGATCTTAAGTAAGAGTGACACCAACAGAGCTCTGTGTTAGGAGGATAACTCAGGCATCATTTTTGGAGGCTAAATGTGAGGAAAGAATAAATGTTAGGGAGCTATTTTAGTAGCTTGTAAGAAGAAGCAGCCTATAAATCAATGTGAATATACAAGGAGAAATTCTTGTCATTATTTTGATGTTTTTCCCCTGAAAAGGTATCTCAAAAAGAGAGTTTTTGACAGGGCACTGGCGGGGTGGTGGACCTATTACTGGTAGTTGGAAGTAGAAGTCCAGGTTTCCCCCTCTGCTTCCTTAACACTTGAAGATGTGCTCCTCATGAATGCAGGGTTGGGATGGGAGTTCTGTCTCCCCATGTGGTCTCCCCACGTGGTCTCCCCACGTGGTCTCCACTAATACCAAGCTGAGGGTAGCATTATTGCTGCTGCTTGATGGTGAAAATATGAAATCTCCACCAGTCCTCTTCTGACACCACCTAAGTTGGTTTCCATGTGGTTTCCTCTGATACTGCGGAGGGTGCAGATGCTCATTCCTGGCCATCAAGGAGAAAGACCTGGATCCCTACACAGCCTTCTCTGTACTCCCTGGTGAGGGTGTTAAGATGCCTCCTTCCAGGCTGGTGAGGATGCAAGTCTAGGCTCTCCACTTGGCCTCTGCTGGCATGGGTTGGGATAGGGAACACAGCGTTTTCTGTGCTATTTGGCCGGAGTAGAACATTTATTGTCCCAAAGTTTTCTGTTTAGCTAGACTGCCCTTTCCCTGTCCTTTGCATAGAGAAAGCAGACTTTTCTTGAGGGCTTTCTTTGTCAGTGCCAATTGAAATTCCAGAGTGCCAGATTTTTCAGCATCAATTCTAGGCTCTAGGAGATAAAAAACCAGAACCCTCACCACCATGTTTTCCTTGAGTCTCCTGGTCCCCAGCCAGTCTGCCTTCTCCTATGGACTATTGGGTCTTCTCTTCTTGTTTTAGGGTTTTCCCGGTGGTAAGTATGAGGAATAATAGAGGAATGAGCATCTATCCTCTCTTCCTGGAAAAGAAAGTCCTCCAATTAGTCCTTCCTAGCATTATGATTTAAAATCCTACCATCCCTCTCCATTTCACAGTGAACATAAGAACAATAGAAAATGACAAAAGGTGGTATGCATGTGTAGGTAAATATGAAAGACATATTTCTCTGTAAGGAGAGGTCTTATATGATAGCCCTTCTCAGTTAGTCCAATACAATTGAATGCCTACACTGTACAAAGTACTGGGAATGGACAGTTCTTATACAAGGATAAGCCATGGGCCCGTCCTTCAGATTATTGAAAAGCTTACACCATTTGCTTAGTATGTCCCAG